CGTCTCCGTGCTGGTCATCCTCATCTCCATCGTCATCTTCTGCCTGGAGACCCTGCCCGAGTTCCGCCAGGAGCCCAAAGGTGCCCAGCCCGCCTTTGGGGAGGTGGCACAGCCCGGTGATGAGGCGCTGCTGCTGCCACCTCCGCCGCCGCCAAGTGGAACTCCGACCACCGGCGCTGGCCCCTTCTTCACTGACCCCTTCTTCCTCATCGAGACCCTGTGCATCATCTGGTTCTCCTTTGAGCTCCTCGTTCGCTTCTTCGCCTGCCCCAGCAAGCCCGAGTTCTCTCGCAACATCATGAACATCATCGACATTGTGGCCATCATCCCCTACTTCATCACCCTGGGCACTGAGCTGGCCCAGCAGCAGCAGCAGAAGCAGCAGCCTGGGAGCAGCAGCAATGGGGGCCAGCAGCAAGCCATGTCCCTGGCCATCCTCAGAGTCATCCGCCTGGTCAGAGTCTTCAGGATCTTCAAGCTCTCCAGGCACTCAAAGGGGCTGCAGATCCTGGGGAAGACTCTCCAGGCCAGCATGAGGGAGCTGGGCCTCCTCATCTTCTTCCTCTTCATTGGGGTGATCCTCTTCTCTAGTGCTGTCTACTTTGCAGAGACTGATGACCCTGACTCTCTGTTCACCAGCATCCCTGATGCTTTCTGGTGGGCAGTGGTGTCCATGACCACCGTGGGCTATGGGGACATGTATCCCATGACAATTGGTGGCAAGATTGTGGGCTCCTTGTGTGCCATCGCGGGTGTGCTCACCATTGCCCTCCCTGTCCCTGTCATTGTGTCCAACTTCAACTACTTCTACCACCGAGAGACTGATCACGAAGAGCAGTGCCAGTACACCCATGTCACCTGTGGCCAGCAACAGTCACCCTTCTCTGAGCCCAAGAAGGGGGACAGTAATCAGTCTCTCAGCAAATCTGAATTCCTGGAAGCAGAAGACCTGGAGTCCATGAAATATTCCAACTTCATTCCTCCCAACAACCAGGGTTATAAAGAGAAGAAAATGCTGACAGAGGTGTGATCAGTTTTGTTATCCTGGGTCTGTACACAGAGCTGCAAGCTGCTGCACAGCCGTCTTCCTACTAGCAGCTGGATCTATTCAGCATTTACATGCCAGACTGTGAATTGTGATACTGTAAACAGAATGATTGTGATAATGGGCTCTTCTGTCCTGATTTGCTGTTTCTCATTACCGTGCGCAGCCAGCAATGTTCTTGCTTTATTCTGTGGAGCACTAGCTGTCATCCCTCACTCCCTCGTGAATTTCTTTCTCAGTTTTTGAAGACTGCTTTAATCCAATATTTGCTCTGAAACCTAGCCTTTCTACTCCACTAGGAGAGAAGCCCTTGCCACTACTTCAGCTGAAGGATTCAGCAGGGACTAAACAGTTAAAGGGGCTACAAACATCTGGCTCAAGCTGTGCCCTTAGTTCCTGTGCCAGCGCAGTGCCCTTGGCTGTGGGATCAGTCACGCCTGCCATGCCATTGCCCTTGAATAATGGAAACGCTGTAGCCAGCATCACAGCGAGTTCGGCAGCTGTAGGGGAAAGTTAGCAAGCAGATGCCTGCCTTCTTTGCAACCCGTGGCATGCTAGAGATCCTCTTGGTTTGTGTTCCGAAAAAGGTGCATAGATCTGAAAGCTCTTTGCTACTTATGACAATATATATATATCATTTATCAAAAACAGGCTTATGGAAATCAACAGGCTTGCTGAAGATTCTCTGTGGTTTGACCTTATTTCAGCCTTATTTGTGCCAGTGCCCTGATGTTAATTGGCTTTTATAGTACCAACTTAATCTTCATAGTGGTAACTGCCTTCTGATGCAAGGCACATGTGAGTAAATTCATTTGTTATCTCCACAGTTTATCTCCACACAATAGCGTTTAATGAGATGTACTTTATGCTTCAGATACCCAGTTCTGTATTCAGGCATGTGAGAGCAATTGACTCCACTGCGTTTTTATTGAAGAGTTTGTATAGCTGAGGGAAGTTTGCATGTTGGTATTTTGTTGACATTGCTGAAAAACCCTGACCACAGACAGCTGCACTTGTGCTGTCTGAAGGTTGCACTGATTTAGCGGGTCACAGGCATAAACTGCCCCAGGGTAAGTGTGTCAACAGTTGAGATTTAGACTGGCATGGATACAAACTTCCCTAAGCCATCTGCACAAACCCAACAGCATACCCCAGACCTTTCACAGGAGGGGAGAAACAGCTAGCCGTGATGAGATGCTTTTGCTGTATTACTGGTCTAGTCAGTATTTCATGGATGGAAGGCACAGCAATCAATGTCTTTGGCATACACTGGGTTTCATGAGAGCAACTTCTGTTAGCAATGCAAAATGCATAACTTGACCTGCAGTGCTGGATTTGCCAAGGGACCAGAGATCTGCCTCTTACAATGCACATTTTGCCTCCCAGATAATTTCATTTTTTTAATCAGTTCTGCCTTACATCTAACTTTAAAATGCTTCAAATGCTGCCAGTGGGTGAGAAGGGGCAAATGGAAAAGTCTTTTTAAAAATCTAAATGTATATTCTGCATTTACATGTGTGCATGTGTATGAAATCAAAGGCAGCCATTAATACCTTGCATCGTACTGTATGATATGCATATTAGAATGCACTACATATTGCATGTGACACATGTAATACATAAACCAGACATAATATCAAGATGCAAAATATATAGAATACATTTTATGTATGTATATATATTATGCTTTTCAGCCATAAGGCTAAGAATGGTAAAGGTATATATTTTATTATAGTCAGAACTGGTTATAGAACTGGTTGTGAGATGGGATCTGTTTGCATCTTCGTTACCCTGCTTGTTTTTTGTTGTCTTGAGATCTGGCTCCGTGCCTAGAGTGCTTTTATTGTAGCCTCTCTTCATCTGGGCCCTGATCATATGGTAGAAGTTGTTTGTGTAAATCCGAGCCGCTGCATTTCTCCAGGGTCCCGTTGTCTTCTCAAAGGTTTTTAATGTGTAAGGATCTCCCTGGGGGTCAGTGCACAACCATTATGTTAAAACCTCTGTTCTCTCCCTCTCGCTGGAGTCAGCAGCAAAATGCCACTTGTCTCAGTTACTGCAGGTCAGTCTGGGAGACACGTGTGATGTGGTGAGGGCTCTATAGCTGAGAGGAGTTTGCCTGAATACTTAGGTGACCAGTTCCTCTTTGGTTCTTTGGGACTGAGGCAAGTGTCTGTGAAGGTCTGGGCCTTGGGACCCATTCTGCATCCCTTGAGTCATGTAACCGGCTGGTGGGTAAGTAATCCTGGTGAATAAGTGGGGCTGAGGAAGGATCAGCATGGTGGTGTCTCTGTTGGTTTTGTGTAAAAATCTTGGTCCTTGAGTTAATTCAGTAAAAAGCTGCTGCTGTTCTTAGCTGTGTTTCAGGGTCACTATAATGAAATCTTTTCTGTGGGTGCGAGAGAGTGACTTTTCTTCAAATTTTGTGTTGCGGTAGCAGATGCACTAGAAACTAGCAAAAGAACCTGCTACTTAACAGGGGTGTTTCAAACCGCTGCTGTCTCCTAGCAGAATGCCCATGTTTGGGGTTATTTTATGCCTGACTGTATCAGCTAATAAAAGTTTCCCCAAAGTAAGATATAAAAAACTCAGGTTAAGCACGAGTTCGGGAGGAGGCACGGGGCACACTGAGCCTACGTCAGAAAATTCCTGTGCTTGTTTCTTCCCGTGGGCCTGACCCCATTGCCCCTGCCAGGCAGAAGCCCTCCCTGCTAGGAACAGGTTGTTCTCCTGACCAGTGTGACAGATGGCTGGGCATGGAGACTCCAGCAAAAAAAAAAAAAGATGTGAGGCAAATTTCTTGTAAAGATGCTCTTTTAAAGAGATTTCCTGCTCTCATGTGAAATTCAGCAGTGAGTTTCTAGCTGGCATGTTGTCTGCATGCAGACACGTGCACACTTGCACATGCATACACAGAACACCAGCGTGGAAGAACTTTCAAACAGCTTTGTGCAGTTTTTGCAATCTGTATTTTTCAGTTCTGAAAAGAAAGTGCAAGTGAAAATGTGTAAAACAGGAGTATTGTTTGCTCCCTGGGTTTTCTGTGTTAGAGTTAAGAGAAATAGAAAAAGACAACAGAAGCTTGGAAGCTGTAACCTAGGGACTTATGTTTAGGCATGTAAATCCTTCTCTAAGCATCTCCTGAAAAACAAGGCAGTGAAGTCCCAGAGCCATCAATAATACTATATATTATAGAACTTCTGGAATTTGACATTTTTATTAATGAACCTTCAGAATTTTTTCAAGTGACTGAAGTGACATAGTGGTACGTGTGCCGTTGACTTTACAGAGGACTCATATCACCATATCAGAGAGATGCTTTCAAAAATCTTAACATGAGTTTCTCGGCTCTTAACACTAACACTTGGATGTTTGAAAAACAAACCTGTCTGTCTGTTTAGCTATTTCCTTCTGAAGGCAGAGCACATCCTCGTGAAGGAAAGTAGGCACCTCCAGGGACTTGTTTCCATAACAACCTCCCAGACTGTTTCTCTCTACCCTGTGACTTTGGCTACAAGCAAAAGCACTCGTTGAGTATTTTCAGTTCTCAGATATTAATGCCTTGTCTTCACAGCTGTTTTCTTTGCTTACTGAAGATGATCCCATCACCATATATCATGTACGACTCTCTTGTCCAACTCTAGACAGACGGTTACTGTCATTTGAAAGCAGAGAGTGCAAACCAGGAGGTGGGAAGGGATTTTTATCTGTATATCCTTGCCCACAGAGAGGTGGGGAGTGTGTGAAGGACAGTCTGGGCACTCACAGTCAAGGGCAACTGGCCTGTGACCTAAAGTCATCTGGGTGCCCGATGACAAGGAATACAGGCTAAAGCATCAAAAAAGAAAACCAAACAGAAACTCCTCTTGCAGCAATGTCACTAGGAAATAGTTTTGCTGTGGAAGAGACTGTTGCTCCTTCCTGAACCCTTGGCTGTTCTGTGACAATGTTTCCCAGATAATTTCCCCACAGGATGTTGTGCACCAAAGCAGGACAGGGCAGAAGGCAGCTTGTTGTAGCTGGGGAAGGAAGCACTGGATGAATTTTACTGAGGACACCTTTTTTATCCGCAACTCACCAACCACATAAAAGACTGTAGGTGTAAAAGGCATGAAGAGCTGTTTTTGCGGTATTTCAAAGTCTACATTACTGTCAGATTCCTGCACCTATCTCCAAGATGAAATTCCTATTCTGCTCCTGTTTGGAAAATGTTGTAATTTGGGATTTCTGAGCAATTTTCTGTTCTGGCCCTGTTCCTTGTGATCCAGCTTTCATGGATAAAAATTCACTGCTAGAGCAGCAGTGGGGTGAAGGTGACTGGACTTGATGTTCTCTCCTAGACCTTCTTGTTCAGCGTACAGAGATCCCTATGGAGATAAAGAAGAATGAGTATAAAGGAAATTCAGGGCAGTAAGAGACTGCAGGGTAAGGACTGAAGTGTCTTCCATACTGTGATGGAAAGAACAGCACCAACCCTAAAAGCAAATAAACAGCTCCAGCGTCTGCTGCTATAGCAGAAGTAGGTAAGGTTTCTTTTTCTTCTATGAAATTAGCGACTAATAGTTTTTTGCAATAAATGAGGAAGGATTTCCTAATTAAGATTTTCAGCCTAAAGGGAGAATCTGGTTCTAGGTGAAGAAATAAGATAATTATAAACTACAAAAATATAGTATGTGACAGATCCTCACCATCTGCTGATTCAAGTTGGCAAAACTCTATTTAGTATGACTACCTTGGTTTATATTGGGCTCCAACTTCAGTCTTCTGCATCAAGTCAGAATATATGTACTATTTGTTAAAATGCTTATTTTTGTTTGTTCTTCTCTTGAGGTCCTGTTTACATCAGGGAAAGATCTGCAGATTACAGCAGGAGTTAACCACAGCTTTCCCAGAAGCTCTCATCTGACTTGAGTCCAAGTAAGTCTACCAAACTCAGCAAAATTAAGCTTCTCCTTAAATTTATATTGACAAAAATCAGAGCAGCATGATTTTTTTTTTTTCTTCTCAATGGTGGAAGTGTGCAGACGAATTCATAGAGAAGTTTAAGACTAAATGAGATTCTGCCCTCAGCTGCAGCCCTGTAAGCAGGAGATAGCTCTATTGACATGGCTGTAACCAAAAGCACAGCCTGAACCTCCTCATCTTTGCTCTCTGGAGCTCACGCTCTAGACAAATCCTATTCTGAAGACATTTGTAGCCATATTATCAGCATGCTCACAGTCGAATCCCTGACTTGCAGTCATCTGCTTTACACATAAGGTTAAGGAGAGGAACAGGTGCTTGCAGGATGAAAAGACTTAATCCTCTGATAAAATGAACAATTGCCAGTGAATGCTGAGTGTCCTTAGCTGCCACCAATGACAGTTGGTGATGAAATTGCCCATTAATTACAAGAAGGAGCTCTTCTTGTGCAGGGTGAGGTCCTAAATAAGGCAAGACCCTTGTCAGGGAGATAAACCCAGAAGAATGTTTTTGGGGGAAAGCAGACAGGGACTGCAGTAACATTGATTTCCAGTGTAGCTTATGTTGTTAGTAATGTCAGTTATATATCAGCCTTGCCTAACTGGCTGGGTTTAGGAAGTCTGTCTG